TATACCTACTGTCTTTCTAGAGGAGCCATTAAGTTCAGCGATACGGGTTAATGGAAAAATTGTAAATCTTTTGATCTATTCGTAATACTTTAATAAAGTGAACGAATCATTTAACCGAATTTTATTTTCCCTATAACCGACATTTCGTTATATTTCCTGTGATACCTCACACGTCACTATACATCAAGCCTTTTCGGCGCTACATGATGAATATTTGACTGACCACCATGTTTGATTTTATTGTCATTTTATGTTATAGGTTATATCCTTTTCAGTGATACCTCGCAACTATCCTGTATATTACACGAATTGTTCTGACTTTCTAACTACTCCCTGTATCTCACGAGATTTTACAGATGGACAGAAGAAGAACTATAATACGGCATAGTGTCTTTTTGGCATGACGCAATGTTTATTTTTCGACTACACCCTGTATATTACAAGAAGTGACAGACGGAAGAGAACAGGATTTGTCATCCCGTCTGCGACAAAGAAGAAGAAAACTTGTCAGATCGCTCGACGATTTGACAGACCGAAGTTAAAAAGCTAAAGGTCACCTTGGCGTCCTATCATATATCATTCACATGAGTTGTCAAAATTTTATCATGTGACCCCTCAAATTAAAGAATTTTAAATGACGAATTACGTTATGATGTCTATTTTAAGAAAATGGTATGTATAAGGCCGCTTTGGCATCTTATGATACCATCTCTGAGGAGCAACATGCAGGATGAGAATTGCCATGTGTTTCACATGCCACATGGTACAAACATTGCCTATTGTCTTTTAAAAATCAAAAAAGATGTTGCAGGAGATCCATGTCTAACAATGGACGCAGCATAGCAGACAGATGTCTATTAGTGGACTTTACTGCAACGATGCAAAGATACGATGCAATACCTTTTTGGTAATACCACCAAGTTTGTTTTTTCTATTAATAATTCATGTACATCCAATCTTATTTCATTTTATGCCTCGTACGTCTCTTTACGTTGAGCTGTTTAGGTACTACTACTACTAATGTCCCTTTGGCAGGACCGAAATGATTTATTATATATATATATATATATATATATATATATATATATATATATATATATATATATATATATACCCGGTATTTAGGCGGCACACGCACTTCCGGTAGGGACCTATGCAGGAGTATGATCGAGCCGCAAGCCCTTATCTCTTGCCGTACTGCTCCACCATAGGCCGATCAGATACCAGCATATTCTAGACTAAGCCGCAGATTCATTTAGAATTTTAAACTGCTGCGTTAGCCTTTTTGTTTTCTGTGCACCGAGCTGGGGATTGAACTGACATTTCTCGCAGTGAAGCGAATGAGAAGCCAGCCGCCCAGCCCGCTTGGCTATCCGATCGACATTTATTTTATTATGTCTCTATATTATATATATTTTCTTTCTAACGACACCTCACACGTTATCCTACGTTAAGCCTTTTGGGCGCTATGTCCTTTTGGCATGCTCCAATACACGTACACAATGACGTATAGGCCATTCAACCCTTTTTATCCCTCTTTTATCGATCATTCCCACGTAATTCTACGTTGAACGTAGGGTGGTTATTCAGCTTATATGATCGTTCCATTTTACTCTTCTATTTCTTACCCAGTTCTTGATGTTCTCCACCTTGCATCTATATTGAATATCTGTATTTCTAGCTCTGTCGCAGTGTCTTCCCATCAATTTTTCTAAGTTAGTTTTCATCATTTGTACGAACGGTACTGTCATTCGTCTGTAGTTTTCACGATAGTTTATAGTATACCTGAACGCTTAGAGATCATTTTCATATTTGCCTCCCAGAACCAGTGTTATTTACAAACAGCTCAAATATTTCATGAAAGGCATCCGGACAAAAAGTGTATGTCCGCGATTTAGTTGAAAAGTTTAGAGAAATGGGATCAGTGCGAAATAGATGCCTCAAGATTACTGAATGAAGCATCTTAAATTGAGGTCTTTGAAATTATGCAATAGAGCCGACTGCATCAATACGTCAAGTATCTGCAGTGACAGGACTTTCACATGGGACGGTGGTAGAAAGGTATAGAAATTACATTACAAGTTTTACCCGTACAAAACACAAATTCTTCAAGAACTAGGCGATGATGATCCAGACCGACGAATTGAGTTTTGTGAACTCATGACTGAAAGAATTCGCGTTGAACTGAGAATATTATAAAATATTTATTTTACTGATGAATGTACTTTTATGCTAAATGGTAATGTAAATAAACAAAACTGTCGGTACTGGAGTGATGCGAACCCGCATCGATTCAGAGAAGGTCACACTTAATATCCTGAAAAACTGTTTGGGTAGGAATATTAGGTGATGCTATAATTGCCCCTTGTTTATACCAGGCAATTTAAGTGGCGACATTTATCTTGATATGCTGGAAAACACCATCGAACCTTTAATTGTGCATGAATTAAATAACCAAAGGGGCGATCAAGGCAACCTAGCTCTAGACGAAAATTTGCTGCACTTCCAACAAGATGGAGCACCTCCTCACTATGCAGTTCCAGTTAGGTACTGGTTGGATACTAATTATACGAACAAATGGATTGGAAGAAGTCCCATTGAGTAGCAACCAACGTACCAAACTTACCGCCACCTGACTTTTTTCTATAGGGTTACCTTAAGTCAGTTGTTTATAAAACTCAACCTGCGTCACTTGAGGGATTGCCGGAAAGAATTAAGCAAGCATGTTGCGCTATTACTAGAACAGAATTTGCCAAAGTTCGTACAGAATTTAAAAATAGGCTGTATTATTGTTTACAAAACAACGGAATCCACTTTGAACATTTACTTAGTTTGTTTGTTAGATAGGTCACAATTGACGAAATGCCCCTGAAGATGCTATATTAACCGAAAGTACTTGGGCAAGATTTAATTAATAAAGCAGTGCTCGATATCTGCCTTTTATTTGATCAAAGTTTATTTACTTAATTGACATTTTTAACAAATTTAACAAAATATAACAAAACCTCGTTATATTTTCCATTTAAGCCAAAGTTTCACAATTATTGCTTCAATCCGTATAATTATTATTTATATCATTAAATAGCATTTTTATAGTCTTTTCAATGATATATCACAAGTAGGGGTTTGCAATTTAAACTTTTTTGGTTGTGGAGGGTGGGGCCTAGGGGTTGATAGTAATGAGTTCTCTTTTATATCACTTTAGTTCCCCCTTACTCTCCTAGAAACGGTTAAATTATGCACAGCTTTGGACATTGTGTGTTAAGACTACCGCGTTATCATTGCCAATTCAATCTAATTGTATATATTTGGGATATATCATCATATAACGGTCCTTCGGCGATTGCCGCTTCCCGCATTTCAGCCTCCATCTTTTCCTATCTCTCCAATCTCCCTCTATCCAAGCCTCTAGATTGCATTGTTTTTGTAATTTCTCTTCTCCAGGAATTTGGTGGTCTTCCCCTTTTCCTTCTTTCTGGCGGAACATACATTAAGGCTTTCTTTGGCCACCACTCCTCCTCCATTCTCATCACGTGACCATACCATTGTAATTGCCTTCCTTGTATTCTATCTGAAAGAGTATCTCTAATTCCGGTACGGTTTCGTATTTCCTCATTCCTGATTCTTTCCATTCTCGATACTCGACATGACATTCTAAGATAATCCATTTCCACAACGTCTACTTTATCACGTTCATTCTTTGTCATCGTCCAACATTAGGCACCATATGTGGTAATTGGTTCTACAATTGCTCTGTATACATGAAATTTGGTATGCATCTTTATTTTATTAGACCACAGTAATGAATTCAGTATTCGGATGCATTTTTCCCTTGGGTTATTCGGTTTTGTACATCTATCTTAACTCTGCCATCTGCTGATATGATGCTTCCTAGATATTTATACTGGTTGCAACCTTTTATGACTGCGTTTTTAAGCCTGTTTACAGTAAGCCACCATTTGGCATATTCCTCAAATAATTTTCGATTCATATAATTTATATCTTCCTCATCGGTTGCAACCACCACCTGATCATCTGCAAACAACAATGTATACAGAGTTTCTTATCCCACTTGGATGCCCATAAATCTACATTTATTTCTCCAATTCCTCAATGCTTGTTGGACGTATATTTTAAAGAGTGTCGGTGACAAACAGCATCCTTGCTTTAGGCCTTTAGTGACTTTAAATTCATTTGAAGTTCTGGTTCCAATTTTTACACAACTAATTGCATTTTCGTACAATTTATATATCGCTCGTATATACGTCGAATCCAATCCGGACCTTTCGAGGACCTAAAACATTTTCTTTAACGGGACACTATCATATGCTTTCTCAAGGTCTATAAATACCAAATGGGTCTCTCTACTTCTTTCGATACGCTTTTTAATTATTTGTCGTAGGATAAATATATTTGGGATATATGCAAAACACTTTACCATAACTATATTAGATACAAGGATTACAGTGACGAGGGAATCTTGGAAACTCCTGAAATTTTGAGAAAAAGTGTAAAAAAATGTGAAAATGTAATTAAAGAATGGTGAATTTGTGAAAGTTTAACAGGATTACTGCTTTGTATCGAAGCAGTTAAACCTGTTATAATTTTACCATCTAATGAGGATAGCGAGGATAGTAACTATGACTCTGAATCTGATGGTTGATAATAGTTTTGGAAGATTAAGAGAATGAGAGAATTCGTAATTTTAATTTTGTTTGTTTTTTACTATTAACTAATTATTCTACTAGATAAATTTCATCACTTACAACCGTATTTTAAAAAGTGGGAGAATTTACTATTGTACAATTCAGCACATTGGACCATTTAAATCGATACTTTCATATTGAATTCAAAACAGTCGTAAAAACATGGAATGGACTTTAGATAATTATTTAAATTAATATATAACAATTTTAACGATGGTAGCACGAGCATCTGATAATTTTTTTTTTTTTTAATAAATTATCAAGATATTTTTCGAGTGGATGAATTAACTATAAATAAAATACTTCATAGCTTAAATTATTTTAGAGTACATTTTGTTAGGACAACAAAAATGTTGGTCCTTCCTTTTGTAACCGTATTTCTGATTGCTATATCCTTCAGTTTAGTGGTAAGTTTTTAACAATATTAATAAATTTCTAAGTCACTTTCCGTATGTGTCTATGTCTCTATGTTTTTGTGCAAGTTTATCTATTAAAATTTTACAATAGGACAAGTAGTTCATTTTATTCTAAAGTAGTTTCCAGAAGAACTGTTGACAAAGTTTTATTTCAGTCCATTGATTAGAGTCCTACTGGGAGTACTTACCATATTATTTGACTATATTCCCTAGTGAGCTATTTTATTAAGTACGAGATTAATTTTCTGCATAATATATCTAATCTAGATCGACCCATTTAAAATTTGTTTCGTAATTTGTGTTTTAATTAGTCGACAGGTGCACATTGAATCTGGCATTTTATTAAATTTTTATTTAGTATTTCGATCATGGTTTTTGTTCTACACTCCACTTATCACAATCGCATAATAATATATTTTTTAAATTCAAGTTGGAAAATCATTTCATTTTTATAATTATCAAATATTGATAGAGAAACTACTTTAGGGTGCTCAAATCTTCACGACTGTATGAGAAAGATATACATATCTACATAGGTATATTATTCGGATATAAAGCGGTCTGTAAGTTAAATTCCTAATATAGATCTTTCCATTTTCTTCTGTGCGATTTTTAGATTATTAGCATTATTTTTAGTGATCGTTAGTTGAATGCTATTTCATTTACAGTTCGATATGTGCCGCTGGTAAACAATTAAATCTCTTGTGAAAAAAAGGACTTTATTTAAATTAACATAACAAAAAAAGTAAATATTTGAATGGTAAGACGTCCGTTCCACTGGAATTTGTATTTCGCTAATCGTTGGCCCGTTTCTTCGAATTCTGCTTATGATTTGCGACTCGTTTTGGTTTCAATCTACGCTTATGGTATATTTATATCTTCCCCAGATACTGCTACGTTGACGCATCAGAAAAAATTTATGAAATTAACAACACATATAATGGCGTGAACAAGGCCACCGCCTTGTTGTCTTTACATGGCAAACACTGCCAACACAATGGACTGCTATCATACTCTTCAACTGTATCAACTGTTCTAATGTTTTGCAATGCACTTAGTCTAAAATGGGCCTTTGGAAAAAGAACTAGTAATTATACCATTGTCAGTCTATCTTGAAAACTCAATCTATCCAAATTGTCCTCTTTTATTACCACTATTGCGTTGTCCCCAAATTCACCATGGCTAGTACTTCATTTGGTACGTTTTTTTTATTCGGGGATGTACTCTTAATTCCATCGTTGCCATATATGCTGAGAAAGCTGCTAAATATGCTGGAATTTGGAGAGCCGATTAACTTTAATATAACACAGATCATGTTTTCTATCACTCCGAAGCAGAATTTGCCAAGCGTTGGATTGTTTACCCGTAGACACTGAACTTGAGCTGGGTTTAGACCGTCGTCAGACAGGTAAGTATTACCCTACTGATTACTTTTTGGCGATGACCTTTACGATAGTAATCCTGCTCAATACTAGAGGAACCGCAGGTTCGAACATTTGGTTGACACACTTACTCGAGCGGGTGAGAAGCTAACATTGGGATTATGCATGAACGCCTCTAAAGCCGTATCCTTTTAAGTCAAAGGTGACAACGATATCTCTTGGAGTTCCAAGAGTTGAAAGACTAAAGCAATGTGACTTTACTAGGCAATCATAGTTCACTACAATTCTCGCAAGAGCCCTTTCTTCCGCTGAGATTATCGGTTTACGGTGGGATCGATTCTTGCCAGTAGACCAGATCTTTTGACAGATGAACATGGATTATAATGTTTCAGATGTTGGAACTCGGAATTGTCTGTTTCAGTTTGCACAAGCAACGATTAAAATTCCTCAAAGGTTAATTGCGCATTTCCCACAACTTGATGTAAATGATGCCTGACTGTTCTTACTCCGCTTTCCTACAGTTCGCCAAAATGTGGAGAAAATGGAGTTATAAAAGACCACGAATTATTTTAATTTAGCAGAGATTCTGTTATCGCGAGAATATGCTGCTCTAAAAATTCTCCTTTTTTTAACGTTTCTAAACGTTTTTAACTTCAAACTAGCTGCTACAAAATCGGTTCCATTATCGGAAACCATCCTTTGAGGCTTACCTCTTCGTGCAATAAATCTTTTAAAGGCCAATAGAAATTCCTTATATAGTTTAACTGTATACTACTTTCGTAACTAATTCTAAATGTATGACCTTCGTACAAAAACAAATAAAAAGATACAGACAACTCTTAAAAGTTTGCAGCCTCGACCCTTTCTATCGCGAATTAAGAAAGGACCCGCATAATCTAGACATGTTACAATAAACGGTGGCTCACCTACGAGACGCTGTGCAGGTACATGGCTGATCATCAAGAAATGGAGATGAATTTAAGTAAATCAGTTTTTTGATAATCATTAAATAAAATGATACAATTTTACAATGTTCAAATTAACAAATTTTAGAACGGGGAAGATGTTTTGGTTAAACTTCCATTGGGAACCGTCAAAGGAAAAACAAGGACGACAATAACTGGAGTAAAACTATATTCATTTCAAGGAATTCCATTTGCGGAGCCACCCATCAATGAAAACAGATTTCAAGTAAGTATTCAGATAAATGTAAATCAAAATTGTTATGTATATTAAGGCTAGGACGACAACAAAATGATATTTTAGTCTGTTGTACAACTTTGGTAACAAATCAGTCACTTTTATAGAAACGCTGAACTTATGAAATCGATCTACGTTTAAAAACTAGCGTAATTCTAGTTTGGCAATTTATTTGTTCTTGCATGAATGGGCCGGCCTTTTTAGCTCCAGATAAATATCGTCCTACCTGACAGATAGTTATCTGGAGGATAGACATTTATACATAGAATCGTATTAATAATTATATTATTATGTAATTAATATAATTAGTATTATTAATTACACGTATCGTTTTAAGAACAAAATATGATTGACTCAGTAGATTGAAATGCCAGATGTTGGTAGTTCAGATTTCTTTTCTAGGTGACGTTGTTACCCTACCGGAAAAACATTGTGACATTTCGTCCTAGCCTTTTATATAGATAGACCCCTTTTTACTAGTTGATATGATTAATTATGAAATTTCTTTATTGTAGATAGCGAAACCCAAACTGCCATGGAATGGCGTCATCGACGCAACAGAAGAACGCGAAATATGTCTTCAAATGACATCTGATACTGTAGCAGGACATGAAGATTGTCTGTTTATCAACATTTTTTCGCCAAAAGTAAGTTAAAATCGTATTTTATCTATATATCGAACGATTTTATAATTTTATCATTTTAACTTTAATCATGGTTAGTAAAACAATCATTGTTTTTTTTTTAAGTAAGCAATATACAGAGCAAACTCTTTTTGCTGCTTTCCTGACAAGTGTCCTTGCACTGACTCCATATCATTGACGAAAACTCTTTAATTAGAAAATACTTCCTTGACTCTGAGGTCTCTTTCTGTTAATATTTCTTTCTACTATTAATTTTACTATCTGATACTATTATACCGTTTACAAAAATCGATGTACAAAAAATATTAAAGTTTGCGTTTGTTTATGGTAAATAAAACTTTTTTGTACTATGGGTTTGAACTCTTTTCCTCGGATTTTTAAGAACGGATCTACCATGAACTGTGAGTGTAAAGACGTATTTTATAATTATCTACCGATCGGTATTTTATGAATAATAAAAATATTCATAAATTTATTCCCCCATCCAATTTCTAACGCTTCATTTAAAGTAAAGTATACTTTTTCTGCCATATATCTTTCCCTCCAAGATCAGTTGTATCTGTTCGTACTCAGTTTGGTGCGTTATATAATCAAGCCGTTTTCTCCATCAATAGTTTGGAATAGTTATGACTGGGTATTCATTTTCCTTAAGATTTCTGCGTTGGTCGTTCTACTGGTCTAGTTGGTTCTTAACACACATCTGTAGAGCCATATTTCAAAAGCTTACAGCTTTTTTAAATCTTTCTGCTTTATCGTCCATATTTTACATTTACACAGTGATAAGCAACAAAGGTAGCACTTTATGAAGAGGTATTTTTTCATATCAATAAAAATGTTCCTTACAATTACATTGCGTCTTCTAATTTCTTTTGATTGGTTCATCTATGTGTTTACTTCTGTGTTGGAGCTTTTGAGGGGTTTATCATTTTACGATGCCGATATTTCGCATCAATGTTTTTGCGACACTATCTCTACGATATCGATGCCTTATTTCTTTTGAAATTGTTTAGTATTCTTCATCCGTACCAGATCTAATTTTATGTTCTGTCCTGCATTTAATTATACTCCAAATACCGTCAATGAACCATGGTTTACGCTTTGTAGTAGTAGGTATGGCATAATCCTTTACAGTTATCTAATTAAGCTGGTAAAAGTTTTCTTTAGATCTCTTCGAAAGTCTTCTATCTTTGAAAGATGTAGGATGCTGATTATTTGTGAGTAGTTCTCGTGCAGGACTTGACGTCGAAGCCTGATTTTCAGTAGATAGTTGGTGATAACTTCCACAGTGTGTACCAGGCTGCATATTGACTTAATTAAAATAAAATCAATAGTCGAGATGGTTTTCCAGCATAAAGTCTGAATTTTCAATGAGCTACCTATGCAAATATTTATACGACTTAATCCGTACTCCAACTTTACCACATCTCTGAATGTATTTTAATATTTTACTTACTCTTATCTTCAGTCTGTATTGGTTTGGTAATATTTTAATTTTCTTTTGAATCTTCAACTTTTAACAGCTCTGTAATATTTAAGTTTATAATTCATTTTGTTTTAGGATCCAGCAGAAAATGCTAGTCTTCCAGTAATGGTGTACATCTATGGAGGAGGTTTCATTGAAGGATCATCTCAAGACGTCAACGTTGGTCCCGATCATCTGATGAACTACGATGTTGTCTACGTAACTTTTAACTATAGGGTTGGACCATTTGGTATGTAGAAAAAATGTTAACGAAATAAATTTCTACTACAGTAGTTGAAACTACAGTAGCAATTTCAAAATTTTATTACATTTAAAAAGCTGGTATGCATCATAATATTTTGTTATTGGTAAAAACCGCCATCTCTGTAATTAAAAACACCTATCTTATGGACTTCCCGGCTTCTAGTCCAAAAATTGTTCTCAAAATTAAAATTAACCAATTTATAAATATTGTTTTCTGTCAATTGACGGTAAATAAAGACTGTTTGACAGTTTAAACTTACCTGCATCGCTCGTATTAAGAAATAGCGCGCTTAAGTGGTTGACCTTCTACTAATATCGCCCAAAGCTTCTCACTGCAATTCTAGAAAATATATTTAGCAAAATAAACTGACAGAACATAGGCCTATCCATTGATGGAAAATGCCTTAACCGAAATGTCAAAAGCGTTATTCTCGTTTATTTACAGCAAAACATAGTATTTAATTTAAAATCTTCTTCCTCTTCTTCTTCTTCTTCTTCCTATATTATACCTTAGTCCTAATGTTGTATGATCTTAGGCTATAATTTAAATGTTAATTTAAGTTATTGTTTTAAAGGGTGTTCTTGTTGATCTGATGACTGTGCAAATATCTTGCTATTCGGACTAGCCTCTCACTATCCATGCGTGTAATATACTGGTTCCGTTATCGTCTTCTCTGGTTTACATCGTTTGAGTTTCTTTACCACCGCTAAAGAATTCATCTTAGTTGTAGATGTTTTTATATTATATGTATCAACTTCTGCACCTCGAAAACTATTATAAAAATCTTCAGTTTCACCATCTAGCTTTCTAATGTCTGCGCTTAAACTGATACATACGGAGTTTGTTGTTTTCCATATCCAAAGTCCTTTTCAAGACAAAAATTCTCGCACAGTAAAATACCTACTCCGAAGCTGGCATAATCTCGTTTATCCTTTCCTGTATCTCTTCATCTCTTTTTGTCCATCTAATATTCCAACATGCTAATCTGGTGTGTATTTTTTCCCGTAGTCCTCTTGCTTACTGAGGTCATCTTCTAATGTTTTAATTCGGTATCTCAGGCTTTATAATCGGTTCTATTAGCATTTCTTTTTTACCAAGCAGGTTTTCGGCCTTTTATTCGGAACGTCCTCTTTTATCCTTGCTTGGGATCAGCTGTTCTGCTGTTAAACAATGCGATTCACCCAAAATCGGCACAGTCAGAGTTAATGTAACACATGCCACAAGAAACTACTTCAGAATCATACAATTCGTTTTATTTTAGGATTCTTTTCTACTGGAGATGATGTAGTTCCAGGAAACGCTGGTTTGAAAGACCAAGTACAGGCACTTAAATTCGTAAAGGAATACATTGAGTACTTTGGTGGCGATCCCAATAAAGTTACCATTTTTGGGCAAAGTGCGGGAGGAGCTTCTGTTCACTATCAAGTTCTAAGCCCAATGTCGAAAGGTCAGTATATAACCTGTATTAGGTGTATGAATTACGTGAAGTTTTTATATATATAGTGATTATAAACTATAGATACAAACCGATGTTATTTGTTATTGAGAAAAGATAGACATTTTGTTGAACTTTTATGTTCTACTCAAGGCAACATACTCGATAGGGTTTATAATTATAAATTATGAAATATTTCCTTAAGTTTTTTTTTAAATGCTACTATAAAAAAAATTTAAAGCGACAACTTGTTTCTTCTCTTTGTTACTGATGTAGTGTTATAAAAACAAAGTTAATAATAATTGAAAAATTAAAAAAAAACTCCTTTTAAATTACCAAAACAGGAAATCTGATAACACCGGGATTCAAAGTGACTAAAAGACTAAGACAAGGATACTTTATATCCCAAACATTATTCAAAATATACCTCGAAGCAGCACTCAACAAATGGAAGAAAAAATGCACGACTATGGGCATAGCACTAATGGACTTAACTTTGTACACTCTGTGATTTGCGGATGACCAGGTCATCATCGCACAGGACTCTGAAGACCTTAGTTACATGATGCGAAAATTATTAGAAAATATTACACAGTGGGGTTTGTATTACACAGTGTTTTCTGTTTCTTCGTTTTGTAATTTTTCTACGGTCGAAGAAAAATTACAAAACGAAGAAACAGAAAACATAAACATCGAACAACTAAACCAGAAAATAGTCAAAGCTCTGAAACAAGCACAAGAAAAATGTTGCCCAAAAAACCAAAAAGACGAAGAAAAACTAAGTCTAAGCACGAAAACTCTATTAGAGGAAAGAAGACAACTAACAGATAAATACAGAACCAATCTAACAAAAATGAGACAACTAAACAAACAAATCACTAAGAACATCAGAAAAGATATAAGAGACTACAACACCAGAGAGATATCAAAAGTCATAGAAGAGAACAAAAGTTTAAAAGTCTTCAGAAGGAAACAGCAAATAGGAAAGAAAAATATTTACAAACTGAAAAATACAAAGGGCGAAATAATAACAGATAAACAGGAAATTCTACAAACTGTCGGACAATTTTACAGCGAACTTTACAGCAAAACAGAAGAAAATGTTCCAACTGACAACATACCAAAGGTTCTAAACCAGGGCTCGGAAGACATACCAGATGTTACTGTTAATGAAATCAAAATAGCTCTCCTACAAATGAAAAATAATAAGTCACCTGGCGACGACGGGGTCGTTGCCGAAGCCATAAAATTAGGAGGCGAGAAACTGATACAAATGCTTTCCATACTTTTCACAGAATGCATTGAAAGAGGAACAACACCATCACAATGGCAAAATACAGTGATCATTCTAATGTTTAAGAAAGGAGATTTAACAAATCTCGTAAACTATAGACCAATCAGCCTCATCTCACACATATACAAGCTTTTTACAAAAGTCATAACAAACAGACTTTCGAACAAAATGGACTTTTACCAATTATGCGAACAGGCAGGATTCAGGTCAGGCTTCGGCACAAACGACCATCTACAAATTATTAAAAGCCTCATCGAAAAATGTATAGAGTACAATAAACCCCTCGTCCCATTATTTGTGGATTATGAGAAAGCATTCGACACAGTAAACCACCAGAAAATGCTAGAAGCTTTAAAAGAGTGCCGAATAGATCACCGCTACACCACTGTCATCAAAAATATCTATGATAATGACACCAAAGAATATAGTAAGCGTCTATATTCTTTGATGCCACGGCATGCGTCAGACTTCATGAAGATACACACAAGTTCAACATTCATCGTGGAGTTCGCCAGGGCGACACCATTTCACCAAAACTGTTTACAACATTATTGGAATACATGCGTAAGCGTGCAAACCTAAACGAAAAGGGCATAAACATAAATGGAGAGCAGCTTAGTCACCTCAGGTTCGCGGACGATATAGTCCTGATAACAGACCGCATAGATCATGCCATCGAAATGTGCGAAAGACTCTACCATGCCTCTACACAAGTGGGTTTAAAGATCAATAACTCAAAAAACCAAGTGATGACAGACCTTGTTCTGAGTGAGAACATCAACATAGCTGGAACAAGTATAGAACAAGCATCAGCATACAAATATCTGGGGCACGAAATTCGCTTAAGTAGAGATAACCAGACCAATGAACTAATACGTAGAATAGGGTTGACATGGGCAGCTTATGGAAAGCTAAGAGAGGTTTTTCCAATCAGCTCTTCCCATCTGCTTGAATAGAAAAGTCTTCGATCAATGTGTGCTGCCGGTTCTAACCTATGGTGCGGAGACGCTAACACTTACTAAGACGTCCGCAAACAAAATTCGAACAACACAGAGGGCAATGGAACGGTCCATGTTGGGATTAACCCTGAGAGACCGAATACCCAACACAAAATTGCGCCGTAGATCGTGAGTAACCGACGCAATCAAAAGAATATCAACCTTAAAATGGAACTGGGCAGGGCACGTCGCGAGAACGAAGGACGGCAGATGGACAAAACGCATTCTTGAGTGGAGACCCAGACAAGATGCCTTTAGGAACAGAGGACGACCACCAACAAGATGGACGGATGACCTGAAACGGACACATCAAAATTGGATGCAGGCGGCTCAGGACAGAAATTTGTGGGGTGAACAACGGGAGGCCTATGTTCAGCAGTGGACGAGTATGGGCTGAATGATGATGATGATGATGGGGTTTGGAAGTGAATATGGAAAAATCTGAGTACACGAGTATCGGAGGAGATCAACATAACCTTTTCGTAGAGGAAAATCAAGAGATTAAACTATGTGACGACTACAAATACCTAGAAGTAAAGATCACTCAGGATGAAAAATTAGATGCAGCCATTAAGGAACGAAATACACAGGGAAGGAAAGGCATAGCCTTACTGAACAGCATACTGTTGGATAAAAACAGTTCTAAGGAAAATAAAAGAAGAATATACAACACCATAATGAAAAGTATCACGACATACGGATGCGAAGTGTGGCCCCGAAAACACAGAACAGAGAAAATGCTTAGAGCAACAGAAATGGACTTCTGGCGCCGCTCGGCGGAAATCTCTAGACGCGACAGAATAACAAACGGGAGAGTCCGAGAAATCATGGGGATTACACATAATATTGTTGATGACATCAAAACGACAAAACTCAGATGGTCCGGACAAGTAAAAATAATGCCGGAGAATAGAATATCAAGACAAATTCTTGAATGGCAACCAAGAGGTAGGCGGAGACTAAGAAGGCCTAGAAGAAGTTGGAGAGAAGGAGTTGATAATAATGACATTATATATCTATATATATATATATATATATATATATATATATATATATATATATATATATATATTATTGTGATATTTAAAGTCTTGGTACGCCAAGCAATAATTAGCTAATTAATTTTTTTGATTAATTAAAATTATTTAAATGATATGATTATGATTCTGTCACAATTTCTAATTCTCTTATCTCAGGGTTTTATTCGTGCTTCAATATCTATGCTATTACATGTGAAAGGTAAGGTCCAAAGAATACCGGAATAATAAAAAACACATATATGATATAACACTATATATTGAAATAAAATAATGAAATAATTCACACTCAAATGTTTTCGATAAACAAATCTCATATAATGATTCTCAAAATTTTGTTCTACGTACGTGAACCTTCAAAATTAATGGTACAAACAATATTAGTTGAAATCTCAAAAACCAAATATTATTCTAAATCTCCTAAGCAAAATATTTATATCCTTTCTAAATTAAGTGTAAAAATTGTGTTATCAATGAAAGAAAAACTGCAGAAAACAAAACTATCTCTCTCTGATGATGAGTGGTCCAAATCCTTGTTATTTGTAGACTATATTATTTACTCGTGGCCGCTCCCTAAGTAATCAGCAATCTTACAATAAATTATTGCAAATCTCTCGTCCTTAATGATCTCCTTCAAATGCACGAATCGTTCAAATTATGCTAGCTTCTTCTGCTCTCAATAAACTGAATCTCTCGTTGGCCTGAGTGAAAAATGACTCTTGGAATATCTTTTCTTTACGATAAACTGAATCTCTCGTTGGTCTGAACAGTGACTCTTGGAATATAAGTAGAAAAATATGACTTACAATATTTTACTGGATCAGCTTCTGTCAGATACACTAACTACACGAAAACTCACAAACTTTCACTGCTACTGCTTCCTACCTCTGGGAAACTACCCGAGAACAACGGCCGTTCGCCTTGCACCCTTGGAAACCCACTGACTATCTTTTTTCACTCCGAAATCTAGCTAAACTTTCATTCCTACATACCTCCCACCTTTTTTAATCTCCGCCAATCAAAACTCGTCACAATTCCCCATTCTTTCATTCCGATATCAAAAATATTTTTACCTATAATTATAAAATTTCCTAAAACTTATTTACAAATAATATTTTTCTATAATTCTTAAAAACTAACAAAAAATCTTTCCAAATCTCTTCTATTGTCTATAATCGCTGCGTTAATGTATTTGGAAAAACCCGGTTCAATTGTTCTTTGGATTTCACTTAAAATTATCGGGTCACTCAAGTATAGTATAACAAAAGAAATAATTTATGCATAGTACATTTTGTTTAATACAGGTAATCCAAAAATTTTAAATACTTTCCTTCTTCGAAATGTTTGTTGGGTATTATCCTACTTATCTGAATTATTTTACTGTTTTGAATTTTGAAATATTTTAAACAAACCGATATTTTCTTGATTTCAATATCATAACAATATATATATATATATATATATATATATATATATATATATATATATATATATATATATACATATATATATATATATATATAAACTACTTTAATAATAAGATATATTCAACAAAAGATCTAATAATGTGTACCTACTAAAAGAAAAGAATAAAAAGTTTCCTCTTCATAAGGAAAAGTATCACATGTTTAAAAAAATTAAATTAAAGTTATAATATATTATATAAAAGACGAGATTGATTAATATGCAATTTTAAAAGTAATGTAGGTAACGGATACTGAGCTTGAATTTAACTCTAGGTAGCATGTTGCAATGCTGGTCTTACATTTTAATTCCTTGCTGCAACTGCAGTCAGAATCTATTGCAATATATATCTGACTATGCTATTAAATTTTCCGTTGACTAAGATGACCAAGTCAGCCGCATAGACCAGAACGTGAAGCCTATCATTGCTAAGTCTATCTATCAATCCATCCATAGACAGATTCATCAAAGAGAAGGTAAGATTCCCCTGTGGATAGCGTCTGGTTACCTGTGCTGACACTATGTCATCCAGTAACGTTGGGTATATCACACTGCTCCTCGAGGAATGCACCCTTTATACGAGATGGGACAATACCGGTTTAAATAGAGAATTTTGTTCCATATGCAGAATGTCCCTGATGTTTTAGACTTTTAACAAATACACCATGCCTAATGTGTCTATCGAACAATTTTTCTTATAGTCGTCAGTACAAATGACATCAAAATTATCAGCCTCAGGGGCTTTGTCCTGTCAGGTTTTGCCAAATTTGGATATAAAAGCTACTCCAATAAATCTCATTGCTTCTGGTATGTACCCAGTCCTGAGCTAGCTTGTGGAATCATACACAATCCTTTGTACGAAAGGTCATTTCAAGTATGATATTTAAGAATTTAACACTTTCAAGAAGGATTTCTTAGAAGAATGTTTTTCTTGAAATTTTGACACTAGAAACATATACACGGCGAAAGTGATAGCATGTTGGACAATGCAAAGGAAACATTACATCTTTTTAAATTACTTTTATAAGTTAAATGACCTTCTAAGTAAACTGCTAGTTTAGCGAATATAACCGTAATTATAATCAGGGTAAGAATAAAAAGAGTTTTTATCCGAAATAGCCATAGCTCTTTGAATATATTATATATATTAAGCTAAAGAAAAAGTTCAAAATTTAAGATAAAACTGTGTCTTAATATATTTTTTTAAGGCTTATTTAGAGGAGCTATTTGTGAAAGTGGATCAGCGTTAAGTGCCTGGGCTTATCAAAGCAATCAAACAGAAATCTCATATTTGCTGGTAAAACTTCTCAATCCGGATTTAGCAAATGCGTCTTCCTCCGAGGTGTATGAATACCTGAAACAACTACCAGCAGAGAAGATCGATAGAGCTGCTCATATTATACAGAGAATGGTTGGTATATTTTGATTACTTACAAAATTGGTAACAAATCTTTTTATTTGTTGATTTTTTTATTAGACATGTTAGACAATTTGTATTCAGTTTTTCGCGGGATTAATGGAACAAAGTCGGGGGCCAAAAAGACGTTAGTAATTCATTTAAACTTTTTGAATAAAAAGCCTCGTTTTGGAGTTCTAGGTTTATAAAAGTTTCCTTCGCTTTTTTTTTTAATTTTTAAAATAGTGCTCTTTTCGTCTATGTCAAATTCTTACTATGCTTAGAGCGTATATGCATACTTGTTATATAAGTATAAGTGTTAATATAGTTGTAATGTTTGGGGATTCAAATTTTTTAGAGGGTTCTTTCAATACTGTATTCTGAAAAATATCTTGTATATACGGGAGAGTTAAAAATATATTTTGTGTTATCTTTTCTTCAAAATCTATCCAAGATTAAGAGTATTTCTTTTAGGAAAAACCTGCCGATAATCAAATCCAACAAGGTTTTTATTTCGCCCCAGTCATAGAACACGAACACGAAAATGCTTTTCTGACCAAATCAATGTATGAAATTTTGAAAAACGGAGATTTTAATACTGATGTAAAAGTCATGATGGGAGTAAACTCTGAAGAAAATATGTTCTACGTTTTAAGTAAGTATGGTTGGGCAGCGGCTTTTTAATCTGTAAAATATGTATATCAGTTAAGATTGAGTTAGGTTATGTTAGATTAAATACTGATAATCGCATATTATGTAAACACCGACTTTAGATATTAAGCCCAAGATGTAGAAAAAATAATGAACTAATTTGTGAATTTTTGAAACCTACTCTGTTATAAAAGGCAATGTTAGGAAGAACCCCCTCCCACAGCCCATGCACCATCAAATTGTATGTGATTACTTATTTAAGAGACTGAAGGAGTAAAATATGTACTATCTGATTCAAACTATTGTAAAGCTCGCTAAAGAGGAGTGCCCTACTCTGAAGAAATTATAAAAAGAAATCTTGCGGGAGAAACAGCAGGAATATAGGTCAATAGAATACCAATTAACAACATTAGATATGTGGACGATACTCTAACAAAATAAATAACAATCAGAATGTCCGCTCTCAGATGCCGCCTTTGAAGTATGCGATCGGCATATTTTAAACGGAAACATAGACTCGGATTGAGAAATTCGTCACAAGCTACAACGAACTGTAATTTAAATTTGTAGACATTCATGATTTAGTAAATTTGAAATTTAATCTATTCTACAACTAAAAGTACGAATAAAATAGTGCATACTATGTCTATGGTTGCCGTAAATTAATTAAACCGGATTACATGGCTGATTCTGTGATACTATTTTCGTGGGCATTCTAACTGTTTATGATTCTATGATACTATTATAATAGCAGACAACCTCCGACACCTCCAAAAGCTAATGAACAAGATCATTGAGTATGTAGAAGAATGTGAACTATCAATAAACATCAAGAAAACTAAATTTATGATGATATGAAAAACCAAAAATAATGATGAAAGCCTGACAGTTAACGATAAAACTTTAGAACAAATTGAAAACCCCAATTATCTTGGCACAACAGTTAATCATACAAACGATCACTCCAAAGAAATCAAAGTTCGAATAGAGAAAGCACAACGTCAATAAAATGAGAAAGGTATTTTGTACAAGAGAACTGAAATTAGACTTGAGAGTTAGGCTGGCAAGGTGCTATATTTGCTCGACTCTGCTTTACCGGATAGGATAGATAGATAGAATAATAGAATTACATGTATAGAAGAATCCTGAAGATATCATGGACCGATCATGTAACAAACAACGAAGTCATGAGAAGAGTCAACAAAAGAATGGAAATATTGGAAACCAAGTCACGAAAACTGCAATACCTGGGGCATATTATGCGTAATGAAAGATACAACATACTTCAATTAATTATACAAAGAAAAATCCAGGGTAAGAGAAGGGTAGAAAGGCTCGTGATTGCCTCTTCTACCTCCTCCAACATTGGCTGCTCGATCTGCCGTTCCTCCCAAAATCCTTTGCTCTTTTTTTACAGGACTTAATATATGGTTGAATCCAGTCAATTATCCCAATTGCTGCATTGTAGAACATAATTTCTTACTAGCAATTGAATAGTTCATAATTTACTAATATATTTGTCTATTAGATATGACAAACCTCGAACAGCTAGCAACGGAAATTTCTGCAGATCATTCTATATTAATTCCCAGAGGTCTTCACGCAAAGGAATCAGATCGTGCTGCGGTGGCTTCGAAAATTAAAGAATTCTATTCCCCATACCTGGAGTTTTCTCAGGACTATAGACGTCTTATTAAAGTAAGTGTTGAAATTTATTTTGTGGAAAAACATTTACTCTATTTTGTCCAGGATAGTACGCAAGATAAGTATAAGTGAAAAGAAATGGTTTTTGCCTCAATGTGTCGGGATCATAGTTTAAACATTGCTTATAACTTAAAAATTACCAATAATGATAATCTTCAAAGATATGTCTTCTTTTTAAGGTTTTTTGGTGGATTAAAAAGTTACAATAGAGTCGTATAATATTTGAAAACTTCTAAAAAGTTAAAATTCATCACATGTGTGTTTTTTTTCTTATTTTATTAAGGGGTGGTTTAAAGGATTGCATATTTTTAATCAGTGTTAAATTATCTAATAAGTAATAAAATGGATACAATAGGTACATTGTAAATGCACCAAAAATTCATTTAAAGCTGTTAAAAAATTTTTTCCTATTTTTCTAAGATAAAAGGGTGATGTTTAAGGATTTTAAGGGTATAAAAGTAATTGAATTTTATAAAATATACTATTAAAAATTTGAAAGAAACTACATCCCACATATTTTAACATGAATTGTATCTTTAGAATACGTAAATCTGGATTTTTCGAATTTTTATTATATTCCTCATCATATCGTATTATAAAAAACTGCTTTTATCGCATTTTCACCTTCAGTCACTATACTAAAGATCCGAAACGCAAACTTAAGATTATTATGAATGAAACAGAGTAAATAAATATTATCTAGTGACTTATCTACATCAATAATGTATATATATGAAATGCAATCTAATTGAATTTCAATTTTCTAGTACTTCAGTGACCAAAGTTTTGCAAGATCTCTTGTCAAGAGTGCCGAGCTACATTCCAAATGGGCCGATGTATATTTCTATGAATTCATGTTTCATGGTGTATTAGGTGGTTTCGTTGATGAATCAGGTAAGCTGTAATACTAAATAATTTGTTTTAAACCGTTTTATTCCAAATTCTAAAGTCAAATAATATAAAAACTAACGACACAAACTTTTCTTTTCTAGTAATTGGTTTCTCTGAAGATGTAAGACACGGCGAAGAAATGAGTTTTATTCTAAGAAGAAATTATGGAGGTTTAAATACCACAGATCTTACCAAATACCCAGAAATCGATCAAATTGTTCAAAAGAGGGTTATCAAATTGTGGACTGACTTTGCTAAGTATTTGTAAGTTTTATTTGTTATAGTTAAGAAAACACAAAGGTAACATAATTATAATATATGTAATAAAGGTATATGTACATACAGTGGCTCCCCAGAGTAATTGCCAAAATCTTTATACTTAGAATATTTCGAGACCCGAACACTATCCACATCAATGCTCAAAACCATATATTGGCTACGATATGTTGACGATACATTCGTCATTTGGTCCCACAGCCGAGATCCTTTGGTGTCTTTTCAAACCCATCTGAATGGTATACATCCTAGTATCCAGTTCACGGTGGAGGTGGAAACTGATTCATCCCTACTGTTTCTCGACATTATTATAAGAAAAAACCAATCCCAAGGATTTTATCACTCTGTTTATCGAAAACCAACCCATACCAATCGTTACTTGCATACCAACTTTCATCATCCATCTACACAAATTAATTTATTCATTAATACCCTTGTCTCCAGATCAATACGCCTTTGTGATGAAGCAAGTATACCCACTGAGCATAAAGATTAATACGAAAGCTTTTCTTCCTTCCATCAAAGGTTTGACTGAAAAAAACGATAAAATTCTTAAATCAAGAGGAATAAAGACAATATTTACCTCCCAACAATCTCTTGTTCGATCAATCAAAGACAATATTCCAAATGAATAACATATGGAGTTTATGTAATTCCTTGTGCAGACTGCACCCGATCTTATATGGACCAAACAAATCGCAGAATCCAAAATAGGATTTATAAACATGCCATCGCTGTTCGCAATTCCGATTTAATTTTAGCATTAGATCAAAGATCCCAAAATTGATTTTGAAAACTCCAAAACCATAGCCCCTGTCCTCTTTTATAAACCAAGAATCATCCGAAATGCCATAGAATTAGATTATATATAACATTTAGTGTTATACTTATATTGCTTGAAATTATAATTAACCATTTTACTTTTAGAAATCCCACCCCAGAACCAGTTGAGTTGTTGCAAAACATTACGTGGCCAATGGTAAAACCAGACGCTTTCCAATATTTAGCCATTGGAGCCTGGTTGGAAGTTCAGTGGAATCCTAAAAGGGAAATGTATTATTTCTGGACACAAATATTCGACCAATATGGGGTACAACCATTTAACTCCTGGTAAATGTAAATGAAATAAATTATAATACTGTAAATAAGTAGTAATAAACTATTGAAAAATGTTTTTATTTGTATTTTACACGTTGACTCACAAATTTCGAACAACTGGTCTATTAATTTAAGCGTTGCTTTAGATAAGAAAGAAAACGGATGGTAACATTTTTTTATACCTAAAAAGGTTTTTAGTATTGAATCCAAAATACATATGGGAATAAACATCGTCTGATAAACGAGATTAGGTAGGTACTTACGTAACCAATAAAATTAAAACACTATATACATTACTCTCTTACCATAAAATAGTGTTAAAAATGCAGTACCATGCAGTATTTCATATATGTTTCTGATTTACGGATTTTTTTTGTAATATAATTTTTCATTAAAATATATTTTTTTATTTATTTCCTTTCCTTATTAAATATCTTCCGTACTACGCCTATGATCGGCTTCCTATATTTGCGTCTAACTTCGCGTTAGTAGCGCTGTCATTTAAGTAGCGGTATCGCATTCAGAGGAACTATCGAATGATTTCAATTATCGAATGATTATTCAGGTATTATACTATAATATTTATACTTAGCATTATTTTTTAAATGCAAATTTTAACATTGATTATATATTTTAAATATATTTATAAAGAAATTACACATAAGTAAATTTATATTAGCAACGATGTAATAGAAAGTATATTTCATCTTTGCAAATAGCTTGTAAGTTATCGAATTGATCGAATATTTCGTCGGCCATTTGATATTTAATCGATACACATCACTAGTTGACACTGGTTATAAATTATGCTGACAGCAAGTAAAAGGTTATCGAAAAACTTCGAAGCTTTCAATTAAGTATTCAAGAAAATATTAATAATTTTTAGAAAAATATCAAATTTCAGGATGTAATAAACTACCTTGTACTAGTGGCTCCACTTTTTCTTGATTGGAGGTGAGATAAATAATGAATTCAAGCATTTATTTACATACCAACATAGACATTTTTTTATAATCAAGCTTCTATTTTGAGTCTTGCCTGTTCATTTCTGTGTGTACTAATCTGGGACATTAGAAATAGGCTAATTAAGACATACAGTAATATCAAAAGGAAAAACCACAAGTAGAACAGAAATATTTTAGATGGGTTATGTTTGACTTACTGCAAATAGGTAGGTATAAATCATTAAAGCCTACAAAAAGTGTTGTAGAACTTTGGACACCGATTTGGATATAAGTTACCGGTAATAAAATATGTGATGTCATAAAACAGTTAGTAAGTGTTATAGTAATTATGTTTCAATAGTGTATCTACTAAAAATTAAAAGCCAAAGCTCACAAGATAGGTGAATTATAGAATCTTTAGCTATTTTACAGCAATATTATATATCAGAAAAGAGTTTGTTTAGTAGCTACCCTTTACATTAAGAATACAGTTATCACCCCTACATTCAGTTGCTAAAATATCTTCTTTGTGATCAAGATTTAAAATAAATGTATAACATTATATCGTACAATACTATTGAAATTATAGGCACAAAGAAAGAAAGGCATAATTTTGCAAAAAGGATTCTACTTCGAGTTAATAATTATATGATATTGAATTAATTGTAAGGATGAGTATAGTGTTAACAACTGAAGAAAACGTTAAAAGGCAGGTAAACGATTTTGTATAAAATTACATTAAATATAAACAATAATGTACCAAGTCGACAGAGCTAAACATGTATGATTAAACAGGAACTTTTAGTTTTCTCTGAGTGAAACATGATGAAGAAATGATACCTTGAATTTTAAAACAAAACATCATAAAAACAAGGCTGAATCTGAAAGTACAAAAAGTAAACTTATGTTATTCACATGACTATGGCAATCAAAGTGTAATTTCTATGTTTTAGGAATGCAATTTTGGAATTCACTTCTCTTGTATGTTTTCATGAACCAGATTGCAGCAAATTCAACTTGAATATTTATCAGAAAAATGAGTAGGTTTATGAATGTATATAACTGATGTACCCAACAGATTTATAAATGCAAAATTTGAAATATGTGTGGTTTTCCTTTGGTCAGTATACTGCATACACTGACAAAAGGAAAACCACACATAGCATATTTTTTCAGAATCCTCTAAAGCAGGGTGGGGCTCATTTTAATTGGAAATTTAAAAATGTCTAGCGTTGATTGGGATTGAACCCAGGTCATCTGGCATGGTAAGCTAGTACCTAACCACTAAATATGGCTACCACCTAATGTTGCATTAATAGATCTAGTATTTTTCTGACAAATATTCAAGTTGAATGTTCATAAGCTGGTTCAAAAAGACACATAAAAGAATGCAATTGTAAATATATTTAATTATAAATCTATTCATATATGTTGCTTGTAATTATGCAACAATTTTATAATATGTTGTGCAGATTTTTCATATTACAAATACAATTACTTGCTTTTATTTACAGAATACATTAGTCAAGACTGTTTATAACAGCAACAAATATGGCAAGCCCTTCGCCTCAAAACAGTCCAATGCCTCCTCCACAGGCACCCAGTCCAATGGGACCTCCTCCTTCGCAGAGTCCAGCACCCCCTTCTCCAGTATCTCAGCCTCAGTATCAAGGTGGTCCTCCACCACCCTCTTCATACCCCAGTCAATATCCTGGACATCCTCAAATGCCACCAAATTCTGAGCAGCATCCACCTATGCATGGTCCACCACATCATCAGTATCCACAAGGTTATCCACAACAGGGACCTCCACAATCTCAAAACCATCCTGGGCATCCTTCTCCTCAGGGACACTCAGTGAGTCAAAGTCATACACCTCCACAAGGTAGGTAATATTTATATTTTGTGTTATTGCATGTTTACAGTAGATCTGCTGGATCTTTGCACATTGTCATCGTTTGTATTATAGGAAGTAAACCAAAACATTTGAGTCAAACTTATACCAGTTAGGAATTAGAAAACGGCTAATATTACAATTGGCATTTTTATACTTCTCTTTTATTTCATTTTTTGCATTTTGAAAACTAGGTATACATGTATGAATGATGGATGTTCTAAATTGGGAAATGATTGTTCACTTATCCAGTTAGAAAAATGTCATTGTTAATTTCCCCATGGTAATTAGCTACTTAGATTTTGAGTAAAATAGATAATAAAACTTTCTTCAATAACAAATCCTTTGGAAGACCCAGCGTGAACAATTATAAAATGTTTACCATCATATTCCTCAGTTTACATACACTTTAGTCTAGCTGAAAATTGTTTTATTTCCGTGTGATTAAATCTAAGTTTGGTCCAAAAAAACGAGGTCTCTGGGAAGCAGACTATTAAGATTTTCCATATATTTATGAAGGAACCTGGCTTTTAAAGTAGCAATACTGATGTGCTCAATCAATGCTCTTCAATTATTATCCTTTTCATATTTAAATCCCAATGCTGTCAAAACAAAACTTGTAATTGTCAGAACAATCACCTACCATCATCCTATGGCTGTCTTTGTTCGATATATGCTGTTTTATATGGACAGGCAAATTAATTTGATCATTTTAGTTTCTTTGGAGACATAAGTAAGGAGACATAATATAAAAAATAACTCGCAAATAATGTCATATTTCTGCAAACATCCAGCAGCTGGACTATAATATTTCTATTTTGTGTTATTGCATGTTTACCTGATCTCTGTTTAGGTCATGGACCACCTCAGGGACATGCGCCTTCACAAGGGCATGTTCCCCCACAGGGACATATACCACCTCAAGGACATGTTCCACCACAAGGCCATATACCTCCACAAGGCCATGTACCCCCACAAAGTCATGTACCTCCACAAGGCCATGTGCCCCCACAAGGACATGTACCCCCACAAGGACATGTGCCTCCACAGGGTCATGTTCCTCCACAAGGTCATCTTCCCCCACAGGGCCATATTCCACCACAAAGTCATGGTCCAACACAGGGTCACCTACCTCCTCAGGGACATGTTCCACCACAAGGACATTTACCTCCTCAAGGGCATGTACCTCCACAAGGACATGCACCACCACAGGGACATCCTGGTGTTCCTACTGCTCATCAGAGCCATCCTCAAGGACATTCACAACCACCAGGGCATCCTGGACCTGGACATTTACCACCTGGTAGTGGAATGCATCCAGGGCATTATCCAAGTGGTAAGGTTTTGTATTTAATATGTAATTTTAACAAACACACAATACTCATTTAATTAAAATACTCAAAATAAAATAACTCAGACTAAATAATAAACTATTTCATCAGTCATATACAATAATTTGTGTAAGGCTCTTTATTAAACAACATGGGGTTAGGTAAACATAACAATAATGTAATACATATTAGACAACTGATGAAAAAATATCAAGATATAGAAAAGTCAATATCTATATAACATAACAAACAAATCAATTTAATAAATAAATAAACCAATAAAGAAAATCAAAGGAATGAAGATCAAGGAAAAAAGGCTGAGAAAGTAGAGATGGTGGAAAAAAGGGAAGTTTGTTCTTGCTGAAGACAAAAAAGGAGTTAGATCTACTTCTTCGTTGAGCGAGGTAGGTAATTAACCTCAATAATTAATTAAAAAGTGATAACTAGAGAGTTTAAGAACAAAAGTGTTTGCCGAAAATGGAAGGAAGAATGTTTTGTGTATAAAATTGAGTGTACTTGAGAATGAGCAATCTTTAAAGATTGTAAGTAATTATTAAATTAATTTTTAATTAACAAATATTTTGGGGTTGAAGCTGAAAGGAAGAAGTGTAAGACATCTTGTGAAAACATGGAGCGAAGTTTGATGTCAGAAACAGGCAACAAATGTTAAACCCAAGAATGACAAAGAGTATTGATGGTATAAATAAATGTATCTTTCAGATTTTTTTATGTGTACTTAGGATATCCTTTATTTTAGCCCATAGCATGCCACAGGGTCCCCCTGGACAGCCAGGTCAGCAACATCAAGGCCGTGCTGCTGATAATTTACATGCCTTACAAAAAGCAATAGATACAATGGAAGAAAAAGGCATGCAAGAAGATCAGAGGTATTCACAGTTACTAGCGTTACGTGCTAGATCCAGTGGTCAACCATCTAACGGAGCTCTAACACCGCTGCAAATGAATCAGCTTAAAAATCAAATTATGGCATATAGGTAAGTTATAAACGCAATATACAATCCAATTGTAACTATACTACTTAGAGTTTTTAATTTACAATATTTGCAATGGCTATCTTGGCATCTAGTTAGACCTGTGGATGTATTTTTTCTAACTTGTGGATAGTCTAGTAATTAGCTATTTAATGTGGATATCTCTTAACTATAGGTGATAGCTCACAAAAGATGTTTGACAGTTAAGATGGAAAACTGATCATCTGGTATCATATATTTCTCTAAGAGACTTGCAACAAATGATACCAGCTTATGTTGACCAATAGTTTGACCTTGCATTATTATCTTAGTCCTAACTAATTTAAAGGCCATCTACACAGAGGGTTCTTTATCCAGAAACCAATTTTTCTTTCTCAGGTAGATTTGGTTGTGGGTTTTGCTGCAAACTTTGCACTAACGAATACAAAACACCTGCTGTATTTTATCTGTCAAGCATATTCTTACATTTTATTACTATGTATGGAACTTGAACCAAGAGAATGGCAATCTTGAAAAATAGAACTACTGTTAGTAATTTAAGTGAGGAAATTTCCTAAGTAAATAAATGAGAAGTAAAAATATAATATTCCTAATATTTATGATAATTACCAAATTGACAATATACAAAGCGTCTCAAAGAACAATAGTTTTCTAGATAATAATAGGTTTCAATAGAGTTTGAAGAATTTCTTCCTTTCTGGTTCTGCTGGTGTATGGTATTTTGGGTATTCTTCAATAAAGCCACATTTTTTCTTTAAAGTGTTCTTAATAATTCAGTTGACATTCCTTCTAGGTGCCTGGCAAGGAATCAACCAATTCCTCCTTCAATAATGTTGGGGCTACAAGGAAAGAGACCTGATGGTTCACCACAGTTTCCTACTCCTCCGTCAAGTCCGTTTCAACCACAAGGAGCTGGTGCTCCTCCTGTTGGGGAACAACCACCAGCTAATGCGGAAAATGTAGCAGAACCAGCAGCGCCGGTAGGGCCACAAGGTAAGTGGTCTTGTATTTATCTAAATTAAGTAGTAATAATCTAAAAAATCAATAATCTAGAGAGTCTTATGTCACAGTATAAAACAAAGATGTTTTAATTAGGTGCGCAAGGACCTCCTAACCAACAGAGAACCCAATCTAACCAGTTAGTTCCTAATAAGCAAACTCGTTTTACCACCATGCCTAAACCAGCTGGACTCGATCCGTTAGTTCTTCTTCAAGAGAGGGAAACTAGGGTGGCAGCTAGAATCGCTGCTAGAATAGAACAGTGTAGTAACTTACCTACCAATCTTTCAGATAAAGTCCGCATGCAAGCACAGATAGAACTGAGAGCTTTGAGGTGCCTCAATTTCCAAAGGCAACTAAGAAGTGAAATTTTGAACTGTATTAGGAGAGATATAACGCTTGAATCTGCTGTAAATTTTAAAGCATATAAGAGAACAAAACGACAGGGCCTAAGAGAATCGAGAGCTACAGAGAAGTTAGAAAAACAACAGAAGTTGGAAGCAGAAAGAAAGAGAAGACAGAAGAACCAAGAATTTTTGAATGCTGTATTGAATAATGGAAAAGAATTCAAGGAATTCCACAAGCAAAATCAAGCCAAATTAGCTAAGATTAATAAAGCTGTTATTAACTATCATGCTAATGCTGAAAGAGAGCAAAAGAAAGAAGCAGAAAGGAGGGAGAAAGAACGTATGATAAGATTGATGGCAGAAGATGAAGAAGGTTATAGAAAGCTCATTGATCAGAAGAAGGACAAACGTTTGGCGTTTTTGCTTTCCCAAACAGATGAGTATATAACTAACCTCACAGAGATGGTAAAACAACACAAGTTGGAACAAACCAATAAAAAGAGAGAGGAGGAAAAACGCAAGAAGAAGCAGCAGAAAATGCAACAACCAGATAGAAAAGTTACAGTTCTGGAAACTGCGACAGGTAAAAAAGTGACAGGAGAGGCTGCCCCTACACTGAGACAAGTTCAAGAATGGCTAATCCAACATCCTGGATGGGAGATGGTCGATACAGATGATGAAGATGATCTGGAAAACGGTGATAAGAGGGATGATGATAACTATGATGAAAATCAGGAAGTAGATGCAAAAGCAGTGATTAAAAAAGCTAAAGTAAGTGTGTTCAATGATGCAATAGATATAGTCTAATTAGTATGTTGTAGGTTGAAGATGACGAATACCACAAAAACACTAAAGAAGAACAGACTTACTACAGTATTGCTCACACTGTTCATGAAGTGGTAACAGAACAAGCATCCATTCTGGTTAATGGAAAGCTTAAGGAATATCAAATTAGGGGCTTAGAATGGATGGTGTCGCTGTACAACAACAATCTGAATGGTATTCTAGCAGATGAGATGGGTCTAGGTAAAACCATCCAAACGATTGGCTTATTGACGTATTTGATGGAAAAAAAGAAGTTAAATGGACCATTTTTGATCATAGTGCCACTTTCGTAAGTATCTTACACCTTTTCTTATGTTAAAGATTGTTTTTCTTGGCATGATAGCATAGTTCCTATTTTTTAATAAATGTACTTATATACCAATCAAGTTACAGTGGGTGATCAAATTATTATGGTCACTTCAAAAAACTTTGTATTTTGCTGTTTAATAAAGGATAACACTGCATATAAGCGTCTATTGATGTATTTATAATATATGCTTCAACAAGCTATATGTTTATAAGCATAAACAATCAAAATGCCCACTCTGCTTGTCAACATAAGTACGCGCATCTCGTTCGCGCAGACCATCGAGTTAGAATCTATGGAGAAGCTATGAGCATATTAACGTATGTATTAAAAACGGCATAGGTAGGAGTGGCTAACGATAATACCAATATGGCGGTGACATCAGGGCCAGACTCAATAATAATAAAACTACTATAAAAAAATGACTAGTTATTCAGAATATTTAATCATAATCTAAAAAAGTGCAATAGATTTTTAATAAACTATGATTTATTTATTCCGCGGTAAACACTAAAAACACGATATATTATACATAAAGATAAATTAATACAGTCAAATAGTATTAATTTATTCTCTGAAGTACGGGCCATTACTTTGTTTACATATTTGTATACTAACCTGTGGAACGATATTCCTGAAGATTTTTTATCAACATTACTTCTGCTACTGCAACTACGTTGAGAACAAGAAACCATTATTATGCACTATCACAATATATTAGTTTCTATAAAATTATTATAAAACTGAAAATATTCGAAAAACAACAAATATAACCAAACATATACGATCTGTCAAAAGTTTCAAAACAATAATACCAATATGGCCGAAGTTAGGTCGTTTTTAGTCACGTGATGCCCTCTTCATAGATTCTAACTCGATGGCGCAGACGGAATCAGCCATGTTTTAATAAACGGAACCAGTGCTGTTCAGTGACATTTTATCTGGTGTGCATAGAAAAATTAACCCGGTTTAATTTATTTACGGCAACTATTTTATTCGTACTTTTAGTTGAAGAATAGATTAAATTATTTCAAATGTACTAGATTATTAATCTCTAAAAATTTAAATTACAGTTCTGTCATAGCTTGTCATAAATTTCTCAATTCGAGTCTATGTTTCCATTTAAAATAGGTGATCTGAGCCTTAATCGTATAGAAGCATATGATTTTATTATAAAATTTTTGAACAAATTTGAAAAACTTTTGTGACTGATCATAATAATATGATCACCGACTGTAGTAAAAATTAAACCTTTTTCGCAACTGTACAAGTGCGTTTGACAGTTGAAATGTGTAGGATATATTACAGAAAGACTTTCATCTAGGGATTCATTAATTTTTTAGTGGAAATATTTTTGTTAATTTAAAAATATTTGCACAAAAAATTTGATGAATTCCTAGATGAGACTTTTTGCAATATCTCATACTACAAATTTCAACTGTCAAATTCGTCTATAGTAACTTTGGTGTCAAGTAAAAAACTAACTGAATTGGTCTATTAATGTTAGCATTTAATCATTTTAGAACCATATCTAATTGGATGTTGGAATTTCAAAAATGGGCTCCTACTGTAATTGTTATATCGTACAAAGGCTCCCCTGTAGTCCGAAAAGTGATCCAGAGCCAGTTAAAAGCTGCTAAATTCAACGTACTTCTTACTACCTACGAGTATATTATTAAGGACAAGAGTGTATTGGCAAAAGTAAGTCAGGAATATCGTGTAAAACATTTTTTTAACTAAATGTGTTGTTTTAGATTCCATTCAAATACATGATCATCGATGAGGGTCATCGTATGAAAAACCATCACTGCAAATTGACTCAAGTCCTGAATACCCACTATTTGGCACCCTATAGACTTCTGCTTACTGGTACTCCCCTACAAAATAAATTGCCAGAATTGTGGGCCTTGTTGAATTTCTTGTTGCCTTCGATTTTCAAAAGTTGCTCCACTTTTGAACAATGGTTCAATGCGCCATTTGCAACTACCGGTGAAAAGGTAAAACATTATATCTATTTGCAAGGTTCTTGCTCTCTTAATACTTCAGTTTTATATCCTAAAATTCATATTACAAAAACAGAAATGTCCATTTAAAAATTAGATTTTTCTAACAAATATCTACATACCTACAAGGTTATTCTATGACTAAACATACAAAAAATATAACACACTGATAGATCTTTATAATATATCATCTAGATATATTGAAGAGATACATATTTGATATTTTGTTATTAGGTTGAGTTAAACGAAGAAGAAACTATCCTTATCATCCGTCGTCTTCACAAAGTCCTCAGGCCGTTCCTCCTGAGACGTCTCAAGAAAGAAGTAGAATCCCAGCTTCCAGACAAAGTGGAATATATCATAAAATGTGATATGTCTGGCCTACAGAAGGTTCTCTATCAACACATGCAAAGCAAAGGTGTGTTACTTACCGATGGTTCCGAGAAAGGCAGTAAAGGCAGGGGATCTAAGGCGCTTATGAACACAATTATGCAGCTGAGGAAACTGTGCAATCATCCGTTTATGTTCCAAAACATCGAAGAGAAATATTGTGATCATGTTGGTATTGCTGGTGGAGTAGTTTCTGGACCAGACACTTATAGGTGAGTATTTATACAATGTGGTACACTTAAATTATTCGTGTGATCACAAAGGGTTCGTTTTTAAAATAATGTTCTATCTTTCGGTTCTTTGCTGTTTTCTTTCGGCACAGGACTTAATTTTCTACCTTCTCAAGAAGGTCTTAGTAAGAAACTCGGCCGTTAGAAATTCAAGTGAATAATATAAGTAAAATGTGATGGCATATCTCGCAAAACAGGAAAACGGAAAACATCTATCGATGGAAAGCAACCGTATATACCTATTTCTGACTTGGTCGTCTTTAGTATGGTGCAGCCAAGTTAGAAAAGGAGCAGTTAACTTGGGAAAGGATTTCTGTTTTCCTGTTTTCTGTGAAAGTCACACAGTAAACTGAAATTTAAGAAATTGCCAATAAAAATATTTTTTTAAACTGATTCTACTTGGTTTTAGGGTATCTGGTAAGTTTGAGCTCTTGGACAGAATATTGCCCAAAATGAAAGCAACTAACCATAGGATACTTCTTTTCTGTCAAATGACCCAATTAATGACCATCATGGAAGATTATCTAAATTGGAGAGGATTCAAATATCTTCGTCTTGATGGTACAATTAAATCAGAAGATCGCGGGGATCTATTATCGAAATTTAATGATAAAAATAGTGAATATTTTTTGTTTTTGCTATCTACAAGAGCTGGGGGTCTGGGACTTAATTTGCAGACAGCTGATACTGTGATTATCTTTGATTCCGACTGGAATCCACATCAGGTAAATAACGTTTTCAAACATTTTTAAAAGCAGTTGTTGATTTTCACTTTTTTTAGGATTTGCAAGCTCAGGATCGAGCTCATCGTATTGGACAACAAAATGAAGTCCGAGTTTTGCGTTTGATGACTGTTAACTCTGTGGAGGAACGAATTTTAGCTGCAGCTAAATACAAGCTTACTATGGACGAAAAAGTCATTCAAGCTGGTATGTTCGATCAGAAATCTACGGGATCTGAAAGGCAGCAGTTTCTTCAGAGTATTTTACACAATGACGGTAGTGATGAAGAAGAGGTAAGCAACAAGTTAAAATTGGTCTGAGATATCATAAATTTAATTTATATTTAAATATCATTATTTTCATCGGTTATTTTTATTTTAACCTTCATAAAACGGACTCATATCTAAATTTAAAGATCAGGCGGACTACAAAACTACCCCCAATACATTTTCTGGCATACTGTCAAGTTCTGTTTTTACCGCGTAGAATTTCGCCACGTCGAGCTTTCGACTCCCTCGCAGGTGTCTTTGTACAGAGCCCCGATCATTTTATTAGTGCACACTGTACTGTTCACTTCACTACTATCTATTCGGTCATTGTATTTTTATATCCTCAATAGTGATTCGGTGTTTGGATAAGGTTAGCTCCCATCTCTTCCCCGTTTCATAAAACCTCTAGCATAAAAATCAAATTATTTCCGCGTTTAAGAAGGTTAATTGTAGACATTATTTGCTACTTTTAGTTTTTCGAGTAGAATAATACGCTATATTTTAATTATTACAGGAAAATGAAGTGCCTGATGACGAAACGGTCAACCAAATGATAGCTAGGACTGAGGATGAGTTTCAGCTTTTCCAAAAAATGGATACGGAAAGAAAAGAGGAGGAAGAAAAACTCGGTCAGCACAAAAAGTCGCGATTGATTCAAGAAAGTGAACTGCCCGATTGGCTGACAAAACCAGACGAAGATGACGGCTGGGGTGATGATTATACTGAAGCGCTATTGGGTAGAGGAACCAGGCAGCGAAAGGAAGTTGATTATGCTGATAGTTTAACAGAAAAGGAATGGTTAAAGGTGAGATTTCTAGTTTTTATTTTGTTAATAAAGCAGTACGTACGTTTATACAGAGTTAGAAGTCCAAGAAGTGAACATATAAGAGTTACATATTGCAACGTTGCTTTGCATGGTCACTTCTACTAGTTTTGGTAGGTAAGTAGCGGATGTGTTACAGAGCTGAACAGGTGTTATAAGCTGGAGATAAGATGTTAAAGAGGTAGTTTTAGAGACGAGATGGGTCGTGTATAAAAAGCTTAGATTGTAAAGGATTCCAAGCAGGATAGGAGGCGGGGCAAAAAACTCAAGAAATATTAAGAAAAAAGATTAAAAAAAAAAGAATTAGACGCCATCTTGTTTTCAATCAAAAATCATCACAACTAAAATTATTCAGTATTAGTATTTTATCATATTCCTGTGTTCTTATTTATGAAGCAAATAGCTCAATTTTTAGGGGGTCAAAAACAATAGTCAAAGGCCAGGGCCAAGAAATTCAATAAGTAGAGATTGTTGTATACATGTTACCTTCACTTAAATTTTTATTCAATTTGAGATTGCCAGGAGAAAATATTATCAGTTTACAAATGATAAAAATGCAATTTTCGAAAAACTTGCTATTTTTAAACTTAAAAATTACGCTAAAATGAATGGAAAATCATAAAATTTTGTAAGTTTTCTTATCGTTCTTCTCGACATAATAAAATAAAACTTTTTTGTCCTTTTAATAAAAAAAACATAATTACAGGCTATCGACGAAGATGGAGACTACGATGAGGAAGAAGAAGAAGAAAAGGTGCAGAAAAAGAGGGGTAGGAAGAGAAGAAAGCGCGACGATTCTGACGACGACACTAGCAGCTCTACAAGAAGGCGTAAGCTACCACAAAGTCAAGTAGAAGCTAGGCTAAAGAGAAAAATGAGAAAGTTGATGAACATAGTTACAAATTATAAAGACAGGCAAGTTTAATAGTTTTGAGTTATGGCGATTTTTAACACGTATGTTTTTAGGGATGGACGGCAGCTTAGCGATCAGTTCATTAAGTTGCCTCCAAGAAAAGAGTATCCAGACTATTATACTATTATTAAGAAGCCTATAGATATTAGCAAGATATTAAATTATATAGATGATGGAAAGGTGAGTATTTTATCTAAACTTAGCAAAATTTCACTGTCAATAAATATATATTTAATAAATTTTAAACTACTCTGCTTATTTTGGCAGTTGTTTATTGTTTTTCTCAGAATAGTGAAAGGCGTTACAATACTGTATAGACCGGAAACAGCTCTTGCGTATTCGTATGGCTACTTCCTGTGATACCCGTTTTTCGTTTGGTAATTTGCTGTAGAGGTGTTTATATTTCCTATGCTTTCTGATCCTTGTTCCGTTAGCTTTGTTTCGGTGGTTATTGTGTTCTGAATATACAATTTTTTTTGGGTTGTACATAAAAATAAAGGTTGTTCCGAAATGCACACAGTTTAAATCTGCTTGAATAATTTCTAAAAAAAAATTAAAAAACTTACTTAAGACTTCTGTTCGAACACCATTAGATGAATTTATTCTGCCTTTATACTTTATACGATTATAGATTTGGTTCTGCTTGCAGGCGTGCTACATACTTTACCTCAATGTTTGCTACTATTCATCATTATCATCAGTGGTGCTACAGCTCTAGTTGAGCCTTGACCTTCCCCAGTCTATTTCGCCAGTCGTTTCTGTTCATCGCCAACCGTTGCCAATTTGTCGCGTCGATTTTCCTTGCGTCCTCGTCCACACCGTCCCTCCATCTCAGTCGTGGTCTGCCTCTACTCCTATTTCCCACTGGGACCGATAATAGAGTTCGTCTGGGTGGGTAATTTTCATTTGCTCTTGACACATGTCCAGCCTATCTAAGCCTACCTATTTTTATTAAGGATATTACATCTCTACCATTTACTATTTTTTTATACTTCTCGTACAATTCGAAATTATATCGCCCTCTCCAGATACCATTCTCACAGAATGCGCCCATTATTCTTCTTAGTATCTTCCTTTCGAAGACGAGCAGCAGATTTGCGTCTGTTTTGGAGATGGTCCATGTTTCTGACCCATATGTCAGCACTGGTAGGATGAGTGTTCGATATATTATTAGTTTGGTTTTCTGGCTTAAATTTCTGTTTTTTAGCTGCTTGCTTAGTCCAAAATAACATTTGTTTGCTAGCAGTACCCTCCGTTTAACTTCTTCAGATGTGTCATTATCGTTACTGTTTATAAATTCGACTGCTATTATCAGACATTTTCTGATAATTTTATTTCTCTGCTTGTACCGGCAAATTATACATGCCGCTAACAAACAAACTTTCTTTCCCTCGCCCACAAGTCATCTTTTCTCTGTGTTTCCCAATGGAGAAATGACCTATTCACAAAGTCCTTTACAACTACAAATTCGTACCTATGTATTAGAATTGTTCTTCTAATGCATATGTACGAAACAAAACCCTTCTTGTTCTTTTGGTGCCTATCCTCTGGATGTTGGCAATCAGGTTGGTCCATAAAACTTTGTTGACAGCTGCTCTAAATATATGTATGGTAGTCATTCCTGCCCACTGTCTGATGTTTTTCAACCACGATATCCTTCAGCGTTCTTGAGATCTTTTGCCTTCTATCTTCTGCTTCTTTGTACGGCTAGAATTACTCCTGTTTATCTGCCTCTTATTCTGTTTCAGTCGTTGTTGACTGTATATCTTTCCACCTTTTTGGCGGTCTTCCAACGGGTCTTCTGCTATGCGGATTGTTGTTTTTACAGATGTTCGCTAACCTATCTGATCCCGTTCGGTTTACATGTTCGTTCCAGTTTCCAGCCTTCTATCTTGCCTTGTAAAATTAGTTGAATTAGTTTATACAAACCCTACCTTTTATTAAATATTATTCGGAATTCGGCTAATGATTTTTTAAATCTCTGTAAGCGGAATAAAATAAAAACGAATTGAAAAGAAACAGTAAATAGTTCTCCCCTTCGGAAACAACACTCTGCCACAGTAAAAAGACTCTTAGATTCAAATATCAGCAGATTTTACTGGTATATACACAAAACTTGGGTGTTTAATTAAAAATCATTAACAATCCGGTGTAAGTTTTGTTTGATAACAATAAATTTCATACACGCGGCATTGTATCTCATAAAGGAAATGACTCATTATTTTCCATCGTTGATCCAAAAGGAGACTGAAATTATGCATCAGTTCTTTTTCTGAGTAACATGAAGTTAACTTTCGAGTATCATTGGTTAATTGTTAAATTTTTTCCCTACTAGAAAATTTGTTTTCACTAAGATTTGCCCTGCTTGTTTGTCTGCCTGTGGTATTTTATTTTCCACCTGTCTGTCTGTGACGGTCTTTCCTTATAACTGAATCTTACACTAATTTGTAATATGTTAATTTGAACATAGTAGTTAATGTACGAATTATTTACCATAACTTTATGTTTCTAGTATTCTGACTTCTCCGATCTGGAACGAGACTTCATGCTGCTTTGCCAGAATGCTCAAATCTATAACGAAGAAGCGTCTTTGATTCACGAAGATAGCATCGTACTGCAGTCGGTCTTTTCGAGTGCCAAGCAGAAGATCGAAGCTTCTCCGGATTCGGACGATGAGAAAGACGACAATAATTCTGATGTAGAAACTCCTAAGAATAAAAATAAACCGGGTAAAGGAAAGAGACGACCCGGCAGGCCGAGGAGGTCGGCGAAAAAATATATTTCCGACGACGATGACGATGACTGAAGAGTTTAGGTGTAGGAGAAATGAGAATGAAATTCTTATTGCAAAAGTTGTACATAGAAAGGTGATGTTATTCTTTACCAAAACTAGCAAATGTTTGAGATAAAGAGAAACTGGAACTTTTCTCTTTGGTTTTAGATAGTACTATAGATAGGTTTTGATAGGGAATAACAGGTTCAGATTCGTCCCAGCTTAGATTTCATCATATGAATGATAATAGAGTACTTAAGTATAATAAATCACGATTTTTTAAATTATAAATTGCACTTAGTGACAAAAAATAACAGCTTATAAATAAATTAACATAGCGAGAATGATCCTATTGAAAATGCCTGTCTAATTCTAGTCCGAGAAGTGTTACAAGGTGAAAAGGAGTTGTGAAAAATGCATGAAGTGTGTTTTCTATATGAGGCGCTCCGTGGACAAACGGCGAATACGCCAAATGGGCATTTTGAGAAAAACGCGATTAAAGTTGAAAAAGTGTTTTTAATTCAATAAGGGCGAATATACACGTCATCAAAATTTTGTAATGCGGTTAGGTAAAAACTATTTTTTTTTATAAAAAGTTTTGCTTGTTAAGCAAATAAGATCACCCCATCTAAACCAAAATTATAATTCAGGATATTGAAAAAAGTTTTATTCAAAGGATATGATATGAAAAACATTTTTTAATTAAAAATTGTTCTGTTTAAGATAAATCAAAAACCAAAAAAACACAAACAATAAATTATTAATTCAAGCAAAAATCTATAACATCATCCTGACTTTCTCCAGTTAGCGTTGCCAAATTGGTTTGTGATTCTTGGAGAGAGATCAGCTCATCAAAGAAACTCCTATGATGAAGCGGTATGTATGGAAGAAGTGACTTGATGTCTTTTATTTTTTCCTCTGAAAGTTTTATAGGCTGTTGGTATTTAGGAGACAAAACTGCGGCAGAGAAATCAAACAAATGGCGTTGATATTCTTCTACTTTTCCTTTCTACAAAACAACTTGTTCGGACAAAACATTTTGGTACGTTGGTTGTATGGAAAACCCTTGTTTGAACAACTTGGAGTAAAGAAATACTTTACCATCTTTAAAACTAGCAGTTGATTTTCTTTTTGTAATTAACTTCTGAAGAGCAGTGAAATCAAAAAACATTGATGATGTCATTTTTACTACTTTGAATGGTCTGACCTTCCTTGATGAACGAATTAAGTCAATATAGTGGTCTTCAGAATAAACATCAATATTTCGAAGCCTTAACTCAATGTGACCAAAATCCCTGTCACAACTTAAATATGAATGTCCAGGAATCATAAAGTAATGTTCTATGAAATCAAATTTTAATTCATGAATTTTTTTCAAACAAGCTAAAACAATGTTCATATTTTTGTTCTGGCCGCCACAATTGTCACTAAATAGCACAACTTTTTTGACTTGATGATCCATAGAATCAAAGTAATGGGACAAGCAGCTTGCTATTTCACATGAACCACGACCTCCAGTACTTTCATTCCACATGTACATAACACATTTTCCAGATTTAACATCATGGACTGCAAAATTGTAGGTCCAAAGCTTCCTTTTGTAATACTGTACAGATGTCGTCAGTTTAGGGGTAGGGAGAGTTTGCTGCAGATCTATACAAATTGCTGAAACTGAGTCTTCATTATTACTTTTATAACTTTTAAGTATTTTTTGAACTGCTTTGGCTCGTCTTAAATGAAGTTCCTTGGCAACTTGTAATTGGTTACGTTGTAAATCATCACAATTTGAAAGTTCCATATCTGTTTTGTCACAAAAATTACAAGTATCCGACTTAGGAGGGTTGAAACCAATAAAGGTACTTTCGGTAAGGGCTTTTTGCTCTGCTGTAATGGCTTGAACATTTGGGTAAACTATTTACATTTAACATTACAGTTTCTTTCATTTCTACACTTACTTTGTTAACTGGATTTTCTTTCATTTCTACACTTACTTTGTTAACTGGATTTTTATTTCCTCTTCTGTCCAATTCTACAGTGCCACTTGTGGATACTTTATTCAAAACAGTTCGAACCCTCTTTTCAGTGACACCATGAATCGTATAGAATGCTTTTCTGCAGACTTTAAATTCATTGCTTTCAAAAAGTACACTGTACTCAATACTACGTAACTTTCGACTAGGTCGATTTTTAATGCGACAACGGTTGACAGAAACAGATTTCACTCTTTTAGATAAGTAAGTGTTTTGTAGGTTATACTTTTGTAGGTATTTTGTCCGCTTAGGCACAAGTTTTCTGTTTTTAATGGTGCTGTATTCTTCACCTGAGTTTCTTTTAACTTTATTCACATTCTTTTGCCACGTGTCTTCAGTTTTCGACCTTTTTCTAGTGTAGTCTTTGTTTTGGTCTTCTGTAAACTCGCTTTCTGACATTGTAGCAGTAAAATTTTAACGTTATTAGTAAAGTAACTCAAACTATTCAAACTAATCAAAATAAAAACTACTTGTTTTGACAAGCAAAACGACACTGTAGCTTAAAACGGTAAAAATAAGACGGAAATCACGGAAATTTTATTCAGAAATTTGGCAAGACAGAAGTGGGAGGGCTAGCTGTGTACCGACGTAGCGGTGGCGTATTCGCCGTTGTTCCACGGAACATTTACCATACTTTTTAAGATTCATACAGTTTGCTTCCGTTAAGTCAACCTATTATAGTTCTGAATAGAAAGGACGAATAAACCATGTTATGGTGGTACATTGTTCGAATAATGATCAGGCTATCCATTGCATAAAAAAAACTGTAACTGGCGTATTCGTCCTTTTTCCTCGGAGCGCCTCATATATTCACTACCTACATCCTTAAGAATAACGGATACAGCAATCAATTTTTATGGTGAGGTTCGCAAAAAACCCGAGTGAGTCCCGATTTACCGAACTTTTCCGACTGGCAAACGATCGGAAGCTCGGCATTAACTGACGTTACGAGGTGCTCGTCACTACTGTTAGATTATCTGTTATTCAAACAGAATTGTAGATTTGTCACTTAGATTTATTTAACCCAGTGATCGGCAAAACTTTTAAGTAGTAGGCTTAAGCCACATTATGAAAAATTGAAACTAATATGGGTCATATCAAATAGTTTTCATATTATCTGATCCAACGCTCATTTGAATAAATAGGTACTAAGCACGAATTCTTTATACAATACTCTCCCCCAGAGCGGTCCTTGCACTAGTTGTTATCCATCATATATATCTCCCACAATTTTCGCATATTCATCGGGAACTAATTTTTTATCGGCCCTCACCACAGAAATTCTCGGTGAAACGTGTCGAATACCTACATGTCGAACATCATAAGGCGTTTACATATTTTGCTTATCTGTCTTACATATATTTAAACTAATTTTCATTGACTAAAAGCCATTGAGAATTTTTGCATTCCATTTTCATTAAAATACAGAATAAATAGCTGTATTTTGTAGCAAATAAAACGCTTCTATTTGATAATATTCAAATAAACGATTGGTCATATCATTTTGTTTCAGACAATGATCAAGAGAGCTTTAATAATCGTTGCGCATAATCCCAATGCGGAACCCTATTAAAATATGCGTATGAGTTAAATACGAGGCTATTGACTATATTTATAATATTAATCTAGCGAGAGAAAGAAATCGCACGATTTTTGTTATTACACAACATAATCTCCTTTTCGCTTAGTATACTTGATAGGAAGTTTGAAAATAGTAAATATTCACACGGGGCTAAATCTGGCGAGTGTGGGTAGTTGATTATTTTGTATCATCGATCCATGCCTTAATTCTGTGAAATTAATTAGGACGAATCAGGAACCAAAATGCAACCTAATAGAATATCGCGCCAGGGTGTCATAAGGATCCGCTTATTGTATATTTTACAAAGTTTTATTTCAGATTTTTATGTGGCTTAATCAATCATATACATTTATACCAACAGAACCTCTTAGATTTACATATATAATGTGCTCTTATCATTTATACTTATCTTTGGTATTATATACAGGGAATAGTATTTTGTAATTAGAATCTAGAAATACAATTCTGTTTGTGTAATTTTGAGTTTTTTTCTCCTTATATACCGCTCGTAATTAGTGGCTTTGTCATAGTAGTGGATAATTTATCTTATCACAGTCGCCTTGTTGAATCCATTGCAACGATAACTGGTAGAAAATCCGTCATGCAGAGTTGGCTATGACAAAAAGTATTTCATTTACATGATATTTTCAAAGCAGAACTAATGTCAAGGAACATCGTAAGATATCGTCAATATGCTGTTGTTTCAATGAATTCATGGTATTACTGTTTTGAGACTTTCACCTTACTATTGCAAGTTGAATCTATGCAAATTGAATTAATTTGGGAAAAAATTAAAGGATATGCTTCCCGAGAGGACATAAATTTAAAATTTATAATGTTCAGCGCCTATTACAAACCAGTAGAGATTATGTACATCTCACACATTGGAAGAACACTGTTGCCCATGTCTTGAAAATAGAAGAGAAAATGTGGAAATGCAATATATGCAAAATATGCAATATTTGCCTTTTTTAGATGTAAATTACTATGCGAAAACTGGGTTGCTGTTCACTTATCACTAGCATATATATATATATATATATATATATATATATATATATATATATATATATATATATATATATATATATATATATATATATATATGACTGCCCTGCTTAGTAAAAACGTCCGATCTAATTTTCGTGTTTTTTCTAGATAAGGTTATATTCTAGTACTATTAGACGTTTATCATCTTATTACTTAGTCAGAAAATCCTTTCTGCCACCTCAAATCGTACAAAATCATAAATTTGTTTGTCCTTTCTACAACTAACAGCCGCTGTGCTTAGAATAACTATCCTATATACTGACTACTTAGTTAAAGCGTCCTGTCTGCATCAAATTGTGAAGACTAAATAAATAAATTTTGACTAAATAAATCATGTTGAAATCATTCAACTGGTGAAATTAATGTTGACCTAGCGCTTATACGAAATATATGACTAGGGGAATTATTCTGTGAAGTGATGTGAATACCCGATCGCGTCATATAGATATTTGATAGATAATTGGATGTAATAATTTTTGTTGATTTCATTTGTATTTTGTGACGCTTGCAGCAAGCAGGCTTATTTTCGTAATACTAGTAAACTAAGTGTATTAACTATTGTACTTTTTGATACGCTGTGGTAAGTAAAAATAAATATAAATAATAATTGAGTAGTCAGTAAATTTTTGTTTTTCTTCAGGAAAATGGACAGGGGGAAAAATTAGTTGCATTAGCATTGCATAATAAACAGTTTCGAGAAGAAATACGCATTGACGGCAAGAAAAAGAAAAAACGAGAATGTGCTGATGCAGAAGTTGAATTTAATGCAGCAGAATCTTCTACAGCTTCAGAAACAACACTTAACCCGGGTGAGGATAAAATTATATCAACTAACAAACACTTTTCCAATAATATTAACGAATATGATGTGGACATCGATGTTGCAGACGAAACTTTGCCTCTTATTAAGCAGCTACTTGATAATATCGTGCAAAACGTAATCCATACTGTTGAGCTGAAAATTGATAAAATTTATACAAAGAAAGGTACAATCAGAAAACGCAAAAAGTATGATTTGTCACCAGCTATTAGAAAAAAGCAAAAAACAGATTCTTTGAAGCAAAAACATTTCATTAAACAACCATGTAATCCAGAACAGTGCAAGTTAAAGTGTGCATAAAAAATTAATGTCCAGAGACAGCAAGATATTAATCAACTAGTGTGGGAAATGAGTGCAGACGCCAGAAATACGGTTGTATAAGGCGGTTCGATATAAAACGAAAAACAGCTGGAACAAACACATGTCGCAGAAATACGTTCAAGTATTACCTGAAAAATATAACTGGTGATGAAGTTAATGTTTGCAAAACTTTTCTTCTTTCTACTCTGGGATTTGATGTTAACAATGACCGAATTTTGAAAACTATTCGAAACACTCCAGCAGTTACGACCATAATACCTGTTCCTGATAAAAGAGGACGTCATCCATGTAAATGGAAAATTGATACCGATCGTATCAAACAACACGTACAATATTCAATCCGACAATAGCACATTATCGTCGAGAACATGCACCAAATAGGCTGTATTTGCCCAGTGATATTTCTATTACACAAATGCACAAGCATTTCAAGGAAATGTATCCAGATATGAAAGTCAGTTATGAAGTGTATCGTAAAAATGTTAGTGATATGAATATATCATTTGCAAAGCTGGGTCATGAAGAGTGTTTTGAATGTGAAACATACAACCTACATAAATCTGAGACAAAACATAATGAAGTTAATGAAAATGCAGTTAGGTAATATTTGTTCCTCGCATTATTGCATACAAAGAAAGTTTTGTGCCAATCGGTAATTCATCGAATAAACAAAAACCAACAGCGGTTATTTGGCATGAGGGTATAATCAGGCAGAAATAAGGAAGACATCATTTCGACTTTTCCAGATTTATTTTACATCACAGAGATGAAAAAAATATAACTTTCTGGTTAGATAACTGCGCATCGCAAAACAAAAACTGGGCAATTCTTTCCTTTCTCATATATATTGTAAATAGTCCAGAAGTTCAGTTACAAAATTTGACTCGAAAATTTTTTGAACCTGGACACACTTTTATGGCAGCTGATAGTTTCCATCATCAGGTAGAAAAGGAACTAACAAAAATGGGTAAAGTATTCGACTTTGATGACTTTATGTCTTGTGTCCAGAATTTAAATTCTGGAAAAGTGCAGATATTACCTATGCAAACAGAACATTTTTATGCATGGAAAGATCATAGCTCAAAGCATAAAATTAATCACTTGTCACCAAGGCCATATTTACGAGATATAGTTCTTATTTCTTGTTCAAGAGGAAGTAAAAACCTTAAATACAAAGTAAGCTTTTCAGACGATTTTATAAATCTTAATTTCCTAATGGCAAAATCTTTCAAAGCACACATACCCAAACCCCATATGCATACTAAGGCTCGAGGGATTGACATGAAGAGAAAACAAACTTTGCTAAATAAGCTCCGCCCAATATTACTTAAGAATAGGATTATGTTTTGGGAAAATATGCCAGTGTCAGAATCCGTCGTTGAGGATAATTTGTAATTTGATTTAATTTTTTTCTTTTTTTTTAATGTAATTACTTTTGTGGTAATATACAATATGTATCAGTTTTGCCTTTTTTCTTAATAAACTTATTTAATGAGTAAATGCAGTTAGTAAAATTTTAATTGTCATTCATATTTAAACTAAAAAAGTCCTATCTGAAAAATTAATAAATCTAAATAACCAATACATTAATAATGCTTAGTTAAAAAGTCCTATCTATCAAATATCAAACTTGGGGTAGTTTAAGTGATTGCTGGTAAACCAAAAAAAAAAAAAAAAAAATTAATCCTAATTAACTACTTATATGCAAAAAAGCAACAGTCTGCTTTTTAAAATGATGACGGCACGGTATTAACTACAAATATTGCTTTTTCTCAAAAGTCTAATATTGCCAGTTAGGACAATAGGCAATATTTGCCTTTTTTAGATGTAAATTACTATGCGAAATCTGGGTTGCTGGAGCGCCTCCTTGGCTGCCAATTTAAAATTTTGAACAAAATATGAGTCATACTTAAGTGCATGCTTTCTTAATGAAAATAATCCCGAACTCGCTCCATCGAGGTCGCTGAAAATCGAGTTCCACCACCCACTCTTCTTTTTTATTATGTTATATTTAATTGTCCTTTTGAATGAACCTTTTTGTTTAATTGTCACATTCCAGTTAGAGCCTAAGAAGATATCCATTGGATTCTGGCAGGCAACGGTGGGGGGAAATCCACCACTTTCTCAGATCGGGAATAAGCTCCTTTGTCCACCTTGCCTTTTCGCCCATCCTCTGTGCCACTCTACTATCGTTTTTTCTCTCTCATTCTCTTCTATATTTACATCCATCCTCCTCGCATACACCTTCGATAGCTCTTTGCACAACAAAACGATCGGTATCACCGCTCCAATGACATTTGGAGCTGTCATACATCCGCTAGATACCCTAAGAAGCATTCGCCTTTGTGGAGTCTCCATCAGCTTAGCGTATTTCGCAGTGTTTAGTATGCTACACCACACGGGGGCAGCGTATGTTACTACTAGCATTAGCAACATTAAACTTTTATTGTCTTGATTATTTAGGTATTTTGATAGTGGAAAAATAATTATTATTTATTAATAACATTCGTTAACATTTTAAAATATCATTCCGAGTTCTCTTTAAATAAAGTTTTGAAAATCTAAACTAGACAGAATGGTTTTCTAATGGCAAACACTTCTAATAAGCAAGAACATACATAATTCGGCAATTACTAATAAACAGTCATTAATACTTACTCGTCACTTGTAATTCCTCTGAAACCTCAACTCATAATTTGCTCACCTTCTCCTTATTTTGATAGTCTTTTGATCGTTGATCCCATAAGGATTCGAACATTGTTTATTAATTTTTACACATCTATATCGCTGGCTGGACAGGCAACCACTGGCGATGGAATCAAACATCGGGCGCTCTTGAACAAGGTCCTTAAAATATGTGTTTGATATCACCTCAGAGCAAAGCATCGCATCGCTGATTGCGCCATAGCAGTATGTGTGAACGTACACTTATTCACGCCGCAAATCTACCAGGCTTGTTCTTGAAAGAAATGCATTGAGAACATCGAACATTTTATTCGACTATTACTTAGCACTCAATTGCTCTATACGTTTGCGTTATGTGATGTCACATGTTATTCTTATGTACCAAAAACTGACTCAAAACCAAATTTGCAAATATGTTCGTGTAAATATAAATACTCAAAAGTTGTTGTGATTTCTCTTTCGGGTAAAAAATAAGACATTAACTGGCTGAAATACATTTAATGCACAGTATAACTTGAGACATGTCAAACACGTATTTTAAAGCTTTTAAAAAATGAAAGACATATTGCACTTCGTAACTATT